CCTTCCTAGAGGCAGAGAATGGATCTCCTGCCATTAAGAAAGAACAGCTGGAGGTGAAGTAGAGTGTGTCCTTCCATTTGAGATCCCTGCCTGGACCTCCTTGGCAGAGATCTCCTAGCAGAGAGAGAGAGACATCCTGGCAGACAGAGATGCCCTGGCAGACAGAGATGCCCCAGCAGAGAGAGACGCCCTGGCACGGAGATGGTCATAGTGGAACCAAGAGCATAAAGATAGAGTGGCGGGCTTACCTGGCCCACAGAGAGAAAGCTGAGTGCTGTCGGGCTGGAGGCTTGCTGATGGAGTGGGGTTCACCTAGGTGTACCTATCGGCAGAGCTAAAAGAGCTTTGTAATACTTGCCTAGGCAGAGCAGAGGCCAGGCTAAGAGGCCAAGGGCCAGAGAGGTGTACCTAAGGCCGCAGCAGAGGGGAGATTGACCTGATGGAAGAATTGTGTCCTGAGCGCATTCCTGAACCTGAGTTGTAGCCTGCTATTTCCCTAATAAAGCCCATATTGTGTGTATTGTCTGTGAGTTCTGTGTGGCCATTGTAATGAATAATCGAACCCAGCAGAGAAATAGTGAGTGCCATGGGAGGGACAGCTGGTGGCAGAATTGGTAAAAGGCTGGAGGGTGGTGGCATGTCTGGCCTCATAGGAATAAGCATTGGCCTGCTGGTGGTGATTCTGTCTTCCTGTTGTGAAGGTAGAGAGGCCCAGAAGATGCTGCCTCCATGCCCTTTTTGCAGCCTATGAAGCTTTCTTGAATTGTTATTCAAAATATCTGATTTCTTTGAATTAGGGCATTTCCATACAGAAGGTAAATGAGCACTACCTGCCATTCAATCCACAGGTTCAGTTTGTAAGAATACATGTAATACTTTTGAGTTTTTCCCCTATAGTTTCAAGTTCATTGTCTTCAGATATCTTACTCTAATTTTACAAAAGCAAAATATTGAGAGTCATTGGGTATTTGACAGAGTATTTCTCTTATTGGTCTTGGGTGCTGTTGAGTCAATTCCAACTCATAGCAAGCCCATGTGGCAGAGTAGAACTGCCTCATAGGGCTTTCTAAGCTATGATCTTTAAGGAAGCAGACTTCCACATCTTTCTTCCACAGAGCAGTTGGTGGCTTCATACTGCTGACCTTTTGGTTAGCAGCTGAACTCTTAACCACTGTGCTATTAGGGTTTCTTCCAGTGTTGCCATCTCACTGCCATCAAGTCAGTTCTGACTCACAGGGACCCCATTGGGTTTCCAAGGCTGTAAGTCTTTCCTGAAGTAATTTGTTTCGTTTTCCCCCATGGAGCAGCTGGTGGGTTTGAACCTCAGACCGTCTGGTTAGCAGCCAAATCTTACCCATTACGCCATGAGAACTTCTTATTTGGTACTGCCATAGTGGAGCTGAAATCACTGCCCTCCTCAGCAATTTGCTCTGTAAGCTGTAAATCAAGAGTGTAGGGGCCACATTAGTATGGAGCAACAATTTGCAAAGTGTGGTCTGCAGAACCCTGAAATTCATGTGTGAGGATAAAACTGTTTTTGTAGTAATGCTAAGATGGTATTTTCTTTATTCACTATATTGACATTTGCACTGATGGCACAGAAGCAATGGAGGGTAAAACTGTTGTCATCTTACCACAAATCAAGTCATTGGTGCCAAGCTGTTCTAGTAGTCATAGTATTTTTCACAGCCATGCACTTTAAGTAAAAAAGAAAAAATTGGTGTCCCTTAAGAATATCCTGGATGAAGGAGTAAAAATTATCAAGTCTGTTAAGTCTCAACCCTTGAGTACATGTCATTTTAATAACCTGTGTAATGAAATGGGAAAGGCACAAAAAGCACTTCTGTGGATACTGAAGTTTGATGATATTTTTGAGGAGAAACACTGCTATTATTTGAATTATTTGAGATGAGTTGAACTAGGTGGGGTGTTTTCCATGGATCATTATTTTTCTCAAGAGAACAACTAACAGCCTACTATGGCTGTTTATACTTGCATATTTGGAAGACATTTTCTCAAAAAATGAATGAAGTGAGCCTTCAGTTCAAGAATGACAACTGATGATATTTATTGCCAACGATAATATTCAAGCTTCTGCTCAAAAATTTTGAATTTTGAGAAATCTGAGTCTGCCACTCTGAGCTTGACAGCTTTCCAGTACTTACAGACTTTTCTGATGAGATTGAGAGTGATTTTTAGTGTGATTTTTCTGATAGTACATCATGAAGTGTGTGAATATTTAGACGATCTCCTTAACTCAGGGAGCCAGTATTTTTCAAATGACTGCTTCATATATTACAAAATCTTACAAGTATAGAAGATCTATTCAGAATGCAAAGAGGACCAATGGATTACAATGTAACAGTATGAAAAGTTCATTAATATGGTTTCAGATTCCATATTGCAACTAACCTTTAAAAAAAACTACCACTGGTTGAGTTTTAGTGTAGTATCAAAGAAGAATAGCCACATTTTTTTCTGGAAAATTTAAATACTCATCCCTTTTCCAACTACTAATCTGTATAGGGCCCAGTTTTTCTTACATACATCAAGTAAAACAACATACTACAACACATTCAATGTCAAAGTAGATACGAGAATCTATCTGTAGATAGATGTTGTCTGTAGTTAGGCCAGACACTTTAGAAATTTGCAAAAATTTTGCTACTCATGAAATTTTTAAAAAACGTAATTAAGGGGTCGCTATGAGTCAGGTCCAACTTGATGGCCCATAACAACAACATCAACAATTATTTTTTATAAAATTATTTTTCTTACATGTAATAGGTTTATTATTTTTAGTGAGTGACTAAATATTTTTAAATTTTTTGTTTAATTTCTAGTATGGAAAATATCAATAGATATAACCACTGTGATGCGGGAGCTGGTTTTTACTGGCTTGAATGGGTCAGTTATATGCACCTTTTCCCAACTTTGTGTTCATTGCCATGGTAATCAGCCATAGTAGGAAAACTTACCTCACTGAAATCCCCAAAAGCTACAAATCAGAGTTTCTTCTTCCCAAGAGTCGGTTGTTAAGCATTTACCAACACCCTAGTGGATATAAGGAGCTCTGGTAGCATAGTGCCTAAGGCACTTGACTCCTAACCAGAAGGCTGGTGGTTCAAACCCACCAGCCACTCCTCGGAAGGAAGGTTGGGCAATCCTATTTCTGTAGTGATACTGCCCCGGAAACCCAAGGAAGGATCGCTATGAGTCAGGGCTGACTCGACAGCACATAACAACAACAGTGGATATAAGCCACATAAAGAAAAGCTCTTTGAAGTCAGAAAATTTCAAGGGTGTAAAGTTGTTCTGAGACTAAATGATAGAGAGTTAGTGGTGTGCAGAAAGGAGTGCCTTTTGGTAATCTGTTGTAATTTACACAGAGCTGCCTTTTGTGTTAGCAGTATTTGTAAAATAAATCCTTCCGAAGCTTTTTAACTTGTACTTGTGAAATCTGCTGGCTTCCTTATATGGTAAACTTTTTCTTTTCCTCTGCAATATAAAGTGGACAGTATTACTCCAGGGGGATAGGTGGGCTGAATTTGGCCCTTGGGATGCATGTTAGGTTTCTGTCTTACTTTCTCACTTTCTGTCCAACTGTTATCCAGGCTCAGACCAAAGCCCAGCTCAAGTTCTGGCTTCTAGACAAAGCCTTACTTACTCTTCAGGCCCGTAATGATCTTTGTATTCTGTACCACTGTAACATTTATGGTCTGTACAGTTGAGCAATTATTTCTCTATTGTTTAGCCTCCTATTGTATTTTTGGTGTTAATTTTACCATCTTGCGTTTTACCTCACTGTACGTAGTACAATACTCAATACATAGGTAATCTTGCATAGATAAAATTTCTTTTTTTTTTTTTACTTTTGGATTGCCAGAGAAGTTTGCTTTCCAAGGGAATAATGCCATAAATATATATTAAAATTATTTGTTATAAACTCAGTTTTTAGTAATTCTTTTAAAGTATTAGCGTAAGTAGATTGGAAACCATTGGTGTTTCTCAAATGAGATCACACATAGGCTTCCATCAGATATCCTGTGGTTTTACTACAACTAGTGATAAAAACTGGTGGCTTATTTAATTTCCAGAATCTTCAACTGTTTTGAGTAAGTCATAATGAAATGAATGGTGAGTTTTAGCAACATGAAAATTTTCTAACACTGGCAGATAGGACAGGGTTGTTTACTAGTTAGAAAACCTGGCAGGGTTTGAGTACAGAGGAACGGAGATATTGTTGCATTTTTGTTGTTAGATATCTCAGTTGAAAGAAGTCAAGGTAGCTGTGAGATAGCTGTACTTGCCTTTTCCCTGCTTGCAGTAAATGATAGTCTGGCCTTCTCTGGATGCACAAGCTACAGGAGAGGAAAAGTGTGGGAAGGTCTTATTAACTCCAAGGTATGAGCTTTCCTCGGCTCAGAGATACTAAGGGTATCAAAGGTCTTGATAGAAATAGCAGTTTGTTTGGCCTGTGACTTTTTTGTGATTATAGGGGCAGAAAAGTAACTGTGATTTTAATCAGAGACAAGGTGTCAACTTGCACCTAGCATAAAATATCATATACCAAAATGTTTCACTTATTAAAAAAATAACTCAGCATTTTAAGTTCTGTCTTGAAAGTTAAAAAGAAGTCAAAGAGGGTAATTTATACTCTGGCCTGAAAAAGGCTTCACTGTTAGTAGTCATGAGGTCGTAGTGAGGTAGTTTAACTGCTTTAGAACTTTATGCTTGAAACATTCTTGGCCACCGAAGCATGGGAACCGAAATGAGGAGCATGGGTTCTTTAATATCTATCACATCAGAGAATGACTGTTCTAGGGCAGTAACCACCTCCTAATGGTAAGTACCACAGCTTGTTTGTCTTTTCTCAGAAGCAAGGGGGAAAGAAAGAAAAAGGAAAACTGACCCGTCATAACAGTGACTGGTATTTCTGAAAAACAAAAGAACAACTGAAAAAGGCTCAGCCATAATCCTCATGATGATCATTTTTGCAGGTTTCTGTAGCTGGATCAGGCACTGGAAGAGGCTCTCCAGCTGTAACTCTAGTGCAGTTACCTTCGGGCCAAACCGTACATGTCCAGGGAGTAATTCAGACACCACAGTCATCGGTTATTCAGTCACCACAAATACAAACTGTTCAGGTTAGCTTCCTTCCTGGATGACTTGTCTTTGACTTTCTTGAGCCTCTTTGCCTTTTACTAATTTCATCATTTACTATATCGTTTTCTTTGTATAACTTTGATGCTCAAATATTTTTATGAGACATTTGGGGGAGTTTCTTTTTTATGTATGAAGAGCATTGTGCCCTGCTGGGTACATAAACCTAATGTAAGAGTTGTAGTTTTGTGGACAATGCTTAATTTGCAGAATGAGTAGTTTTTGAATAACAATTTACTGTTCTTGTGTGTTCAAACCTTTGTTTATTTAGCAAAGTTGTCCAATGGTGTTTAAAAATATTTTGAGGGTTCTTTGGAGATGTTTGATACATACAGTAATATAAGGGTTGCATTTTCTATGCTGTTTTCATGAATATTCAGGTTAGTGAATCAGTAGAAGTTCACTTTTAATGGAAAATATGTAATTCTTAGAAAATAATATTATTGGCTCTATGACATTATGTTTATACATCACATACTCCTCTCAGATTAAACCTTGGCTTTCATAGGCATCATTATAATTGTGGTTGTGATCCAGTATTTTTTATTATTATTACAAAAGTTGGTCATAAATCTTTAAAATTCCTTAATGCTAAAACTTTTGTTTTTGGTGTAAGTAGATGTTAATGATTAAGAATGTATTTTTTATAAATGCCATTTTTTGAAGCATACTCATCTTGTTTACTGAATTTATTTCTATTATTCTTTTAGGTAAGTTTGTTACTATCTTTAAAATGTTGGCATTATTTAAACCTAGTTGACTAAAAAAATCTGAGGAAAACAGATGAGCACACATACTAAGTCTTTTATCCTTTCCTTGCATGTTTGGGCATAGTTTATCTGAGAATAAAGATGGGGGTTGCAACATGACATTTAAAGTGATAAATCTATAGGCATTAAAAGCTTGTCACAAGTATCTATTCCTGTGTTGGCATTGGTTTTTCTGTGATGGCTCTTGTTTGCAAGAGTTTCTGACTTTTTCTGACTCTAGATATAAAACACTGTCCTCTTTGTATTCTGACTTTTATTGGGGTGTAAATATTTATTGAGGTATAGTTTTAAATTAACCTAGCTGACATTGGAGGCAAGTATCATCTTATATTCAGTAGGCTTTTTTTGTTTTTTTGTTAAATGAAAGTTTTAGTTAATCTTTGTAGAGATAGGTGCCAGTGGAGCTTGTTTTAAAACTGTTGGACAGTGGGCAAGTCACTTAATCTGTCTGTATAAACTTCAGTTTTCTCTAAAATGGGTAAATAATAGCCTCTCATAGGGGAGTTTTTATGATTACATGACAGATGTGTGAAAAACCCACTATAACGTGATAAATATTTGATGGTGATATAAGATTGTCTCATTGCAACAACAGTTCCTCAGTAAGTTTTATTTTTCATTGTGTGAATGTTTTTATGTGTTGGATGTCCATGACCAGAACTGCATGGCCTTAAGTGTAGGTGAACACCTACACATACCCATGTTCTTTGGGAATGACATGTTACTGGTTTTTTTTTTTTTTTTTTTTCTGCAGTGTTGATATTTTAATGAGCTCTTTTGAGTTTGTGCAAACTAAATTCCCACATAATTGTAATATTAAGTGACTGTTGAAAGCTCAGAACCACCCTAGACTCTCAAAGTTAAATGGCTGAATGAATATATTAAATGATGTTCTTGGAGAAATTCATTATTTTTCTTTCTCCAGTAATCACGTTATTACATTGAATGTTACTTGAAAAAGGAAGTCTTGCTTAAAACTCTGATCTTTTTTTTAAGGAGAAATTCCTTATTTTGACCTTCAAGATCTACCACCATCAAGCTTCTTATAATATAAATCCTAAGTTTAACCAAGCTTCTTTATTCATTTCTTGCATTCTCTCTTATTTCTATTTACTCCGTAATTTGAAGTCTCACCTTAAGTCAACTAGTAGAAGAGATCAGTGAAATGTAATTATCAAACGTAGGTGCTTTTTTCTGCCCCTTTAAATTGTTCACTCACTCTTTGGTAGATTTGTGAAAATGCATTTTCAGGCTTAGGATCTTATAGCTTATGTATCTTATGTTCAGGCTTTTTCTGTGCAACCTGACCTGACATTTCAACTATTCTTTCCTTTGCATTTCTGTGGACTCAATTTAAAATCTGTGCCATTCATTTCCACAATTACTCATACACTTGTTTTACATCTTAAATATTTATGTCGTTACTGTCTTTCCTAAACAAGATTGTGAGCTCCTTTATTGGGGTTCACCATGTTCTGTAGCTTGGTAGCCCCCATAAGATAACTGGCTTAGTCTTGCACACCTGCACCTTTACATTGTTGGTTGAGTGAAGGAGAAGATCATTTATTTTATGATGCATTTCAGAAACTCTTGTATTATAGGTAGCAACAATTGCAGAGACAGATGAGTCTGCAGAATCAGAAGGTGTAATTGATTCTCATAAACGTAGAGAAATCCTTTCACGAAGACCCTCTTACAGGTAAGTTAATGAAGTTTCCTACTTTAATGATACTTTTTTCTTCCAAAAAAGAATAATTATACATCAAACATATTCTTCCACAATAGTTTTTCTGTTTTAAATTTCATTCATCTACTGTAATTATTTGTATTGTTACATTTTATTTTAGAAAAATACTGAATGAACTTTCCTCTGATGTGCCTGGTGTTCCCAAGATTGAAGAAGAAAAATCAGAGGAAGAAGGAACGCCACCTAACATTGCTACCATGGCAGTACCGACTAGCATATATCAGACTAGCACGGGGCAATACAGTATGTATGCAACAATATGATATGATACAGTTCTAGCTTTAAGTCTTCTGCAGTTACATCTGAGCAACTCAGGTTTTGGCATTAAACATACATGCTTAAAATATACCCCAATTGTGTATTATAGAATGAAAAGTATGTGTTGTACAAGTAAGAGATTTGTATTGGCAGCTGTGATACACATTTTTCAAGTAAACATTTTTATTAATGAATATAGAAACAGATTTTGGGTAAATGTAAACAAAGGACAGTGTTTTTAATTTATATGTGCGTATTCATTTCTAGAAAAATTCAGTACTATTTTTGTTGTCTTTATGAAGCATGTGAATGTCATAAGATACAAATGTCTGTATTTCATTCTTGTTGGCTCTTGTTACCAACAATTACATATTATACTTACTACTCTTAAAGGAGGTATATTTGTGCTTTAAAATTATGTTTCCAATGTAACTCTGTTTTCATTACCTCTACTGTATTAATTTGTGCTGTAGTTTTTCATAAAAGAGAATGGAAAAATGATACATCTTTTGAAAGTATAGCAGTGGAACAGTTTATTTTATTTGAAATTTTAAGCATTGAAAGCGCTAAATAAACTGATACATTCATATTTATTCTTGTGCATTTTAATGGATTGTTAATTCTGTGCTTTTTGCTGTAATTAAAGCACTGTTTTTTTTTTCCTAAATAAAAAACAGGTTTGATACATAAAAATACTATAGCAAAAAAGAAACTCAATAACTAAAAAGAAAAGGGAGGGGAGGAAATTACAGAAAAAGGACAGAAAAGAAAAAAAAAAAGAGATAGCAAGTTAGGTGGTTGTTGTTGTTAAGTGCTGTCGAGTCGTTTCCGACTCATAGTGACCCCACGCACAGCAGAACGAAACACTGCCCGATCCCGCACCAGCCCCACAATCCCTGCTATACTTGAGCCCATCATTGCAGCCACCATATCAATCCATCTC